AATACGTTGAATATATACATGATATGTGTATTTAATTAATAATTATGATATATACTGTATTAATTTGGTATATCATTCTTTAAATACATTACTGAAATTAAATTAATTTAATAGGAAGTTACTAGTTAGTACGCTTAACAAGTGCGATGTAAACTGGATATTAGCTATGTTTATCGGACTCAACAGTTGAGTGAGCGCTTGCTGTTATTGATGTATTCTTTTAGATCATCCAATCAGCATTTTAGATCTAAAAGAATACATCAATAGCAGCGAGCGCTCAATCAACTGTTGAGTTCGCTGAACGCAGCCATTGTTTACGAAATTAGGATAATTGCTTATAGTGTTTTCAGCTCGACCGAATTTGCACTAACTTGGGTTGAAGTTATGATGTTTCGTATTGGTAGAGCGTGTAACGTCAACCAATAGCGAAGCATTTTTTAACCCAAGTTGGTGCAAATCCGGTCGGGCCGAAAACACTAAGTTTACATCATGCACTTGATACACGTACTAACTAGTAGCTTTCTAAATTATTTTAATTTCAGTAATGTATTTAAAGAATAATGTATTAAATTGGTACAATATGCATCAAAATAATTAAGTACACATATAGTATATATATTTATATGTATCGCTGAAATTAGAATTGTTCAATAGAAAGTTACTAGTTAATATCCGTATCAAGTGCATGATGTAAACTAGGTCAAATTGAAATTTCGATAATCTTCTATCAGAATATATCAGTTGATAAGATTACTATTTTTTTGAAAATTTCGAAAGACACGCGTTTTAAGTTATATATATACTATATTTTTATCAAAAAATCTAACAACTTTAATCATTTTTTCAAAAGATTCCAATATGCGCCATCTCTTTTTGAAGTGTATTCCGATAATAACGTAAAGATAATTAGATAATGATTCTTTAAATATTTCGAAAAAAACATATCTTAATAGTTACTATCTGTTATTGAATTATATTGTGGTATTTTTTCTACTATGATGTTTTCTCAAGACTCAAGAATGTTAGAAATTTCAAAAATAATTCAAACTTTTATTATTATCTCATCGGAATACATTTCTGACTTTGATAACTTTAAAAAAATTCAAGTATATTTTAATTTATTTAAATATTTGCATTACATTACTTAAATGTCTTTCTTGTGAACGTTTAAAGCTATCAAACTGAAAGTTCTTAAGTTAAATTATCAGTTCTTCTTTTAGCCCATAGCTATAAATATCATAAATAAAATATTATAAATACAGCGACGTCAGTGACGCGTTCGATCCGGAAGTTGCTCAAGTAGCCATTTTCAAACATGAAAGCAGTCTTTTACACAAGTGTTTTTTTATTGATATGCAATTTTTATTGATATGCAAATTGCTTTTACGTGATTCCCATCATATTTTTGTCATTAAAAAAGGAAGATGTTTCTTTCCTATCATTCTTAAAAATATATCTGCATAAAACGACTTTCCACTAAATCGTACATAAAATCATTTCGAATTAGGTCAGATTAAGTGCTCGAACGCGTTGTTGGTACGAACAGAATTTTTGCAGGTGAATTGATGAAAATGTAGATTCGAAATGTAAAGGAGAGTGTTCCCTTTTATACCCTTATCCTCGACAAGTGATTAAGTACTATTTGATTTAGTCGGATCGAACAGTTTGCTATGCGTTTATTGCGAGATTTATCAACGAAGACGAATTTAACCTCCCAATCTAGGCTTATGTTTGAAAATTCAATTCAATTGTGATTTCCTGTTATCACCATATGGTGATTGTTCTTGCTGGCAGCACGAAGCATCTTTGATCGTGTAAGATTTTCTGATTTCAACACGACACGATGGCACCGCAATTGCAGATTTTGTCCAACATTCTGCAGGTAAATGTAATCAAGCATATTTATATTAATAATGACAATGAAAACATAATTTCATTTTTTTTTCTCAAGTTTTTATGATCACTTGCACAATATATTTCTTGCAAGGAACAGTATTTTGCGGATAATATATCCTCTTTGTTTTCTAAATTTATTATTTATATATAAAACAATGCTATGTTTCTATATATTTAACAGATAAAATATATTAGTAATGCTAATGTATGTGTTTAATATTTAAATAAAATAATACTTTTAGCGATTAGAAAACTTAGAAACCGCAACGACTGGCTATCTTTATGGTATTATGTACAATGATACTCTCTTAGTTTTAACATTCAGTATAAGTTCATGTAATAGTGAAGACAACAATCTAACAGATTATACAGCACTGCAGTTGAATTTACCTGCAGATATATATTTCTGTGGTGTATTACATATTGGTGAATGTGAAGAAATAAATACTGATGTTTTCAAGGTAATTACAAATTAGATTTATTGTTTATTTATCTATTTTATTCCATTCATTCTTATATTACATTTGTTTGTTTAGGACATTGATATTACAGATAATCCACTACTTTTAAAATATTCACGCAATACGTTGGATATACAAGCATATTTTTATGTCCATCAAAAATTAGAAGCTATAAATAATCTTAGTATTATTAGCGAAGATGATCTTTCTCAACAATTTGTATATATTAGATTACAAGCGACTCTACCATTGATTGCTCAGGATGGGAATATATTAGAAGCTTTGCAGGAATCACGAAAAAATGTAAGATTTTTCTTTTGATTAACATTTTTACATCACATTTTTTGTCTTGTATGTATCATATAATTTTACATTATAGATTGCATCTGGAAAAATAGGAATACGTTTTCCTTTGAATGATGCATACCTCTTCAGAACTGATGACAATTTAAAAGATATAATGTTAAAAGATATTTTATCTGTGTCCAAAGACCAGGAGAAATTTTCAACTGGCTCAAGTAATGTAAATTATAATACTGGACCTGTGGTATGTGCCTTTAGCTAAAATTCATATATACTATTCTAAACATAAATTATATCAGAATATTTTTACTTATTTTGTTCATTTTCAGAAAGTTATACATGCAAACATGTTATTAAAGATGTCAAGCGAGAAAAATTCTGAAGAATCTGTTAGATATGCTCCTGTTTTGCAACACATCAAAAGTGAGTACTACAGAAAAATATTTTATTTATTTAATTTATATCAATACATAATTTCTAATTGATCATATATTATATTTGTTATGTTTTAGAATCCTTCAACAGTTTAGAATGCAATTTACACATTGATGCATTATCATTGGTGAATTTGAATGTGAAATCAGCTGAATTGCACGCGATTTTAGTGGAATCGACTTGCCGAAATATTAGATTAATTGAAATGCAACAAGAAAATCAGTCTGAAGATACACAACTATCTGAAATCATGCATTTTAAACCTCAGAGTTGTGGACATTTATTTACAGTAGCATATCCTGGCAATTCTACTAATGATACCACAAGTAAGATCTTGTATCTTGATTACTTATTGTTTATTACTTGATTTATTTATCAATCATGCAATAAATTCTATTACTATTGGAATTTGTATCATTCATATATCCTGTATCGTCATTACATAATTACCGAATTTGTTATCATAGTAATATGTGTCATCTATTTGCTTTTATACAGACCAGTATAATTTCAGTGGAATATCGTAAGGCTTTACACAAGGCTTTAGCATTAGATTTGACTAGACCCCATTTTCGACGAGGAAATGCTGTCAAATTTGACACACAGGCAAATGAAGTACTTATAAATCCTCATCAGGCTCTTTTAAATAAAGGTATTTTAAATAAAAGTTCATTTATATACTTTCAAATTTATCAATATTTATCAATTATTGTAATATTTTATTGTCTTAATTAGGTATTACAGGAAAATTCAGTATTGTGGATGGTTTGTATTCATATCATCATTATATGCAAGATAATTTTGATGATAATGGATGGGGATGTGCTTATAGATCTCTCCAAACCATCATTTCGTGGTACAGGTAATAAAAGATAACCAGATATTATGCAATGTGGAAATATTGTATTCTGTAATATATGTACGTATGAATAAATTGCAATCTGCTATAGATTACAGGGTTATAGTGAAGTACCTATACCATCTCATCGCAAAATACAACAATGTTTAATTGATATAGGCGATAAATCTTTTGATTTTCTTGATAGTAAACAATGGATTGGTTCAACTGAAGTAAGTTTTGTACTGCAGACTTTCCTTAATATAGATGTCAAGATACTTTGTGCATCAAGTGGAGAAGAGATGTTAACCTTAATTTCACAACTTGCAAATCATTTTGATACACAGGGTACACCCATTATGATTGGTAAGTTTTAATTATATTTCTTTATTTCTATAAACAATTAAAATTAAGCATCTAAAATATTGAAATATTAAATATTAACTTTCTGTATGTTTTTTTTTTTGTTTTATAGGTGGAGGAGTATTAGCTCATACAATTCTAGGAGTTAGCTACGATGAACATTCTGGAGAGGGAAAATTCTTGATTTTAGATCCACACTACACAGGAGGAGAACACTTACCTACCATAATAAATAAGGGCTGGTGTGGCTGGAAAACGAAAGATTTTTGGAAAAAGGATGCATTTTACAATATGTGCCTTCCACAAAGACCTATAGCCTTCTGATATTAAATACACTGCATTGTACAGAATTTAATTTTTCTAAATATAATCAAAATAAAATTCTGTTATATATTCACACATTATAAATGCACATATATATAGAATAATTTTTACAATGTATTGCATCACTGCAATGTTTATAACATTTTTATTTTACTTGTGCAATATATGCCACAGAGGAGGATCAACATATACTTTTATTTCTAAATAAAAATAAATTTAATTAAGATGCTTGTAATAAACTTGTGAATGAGTGAATATTTATTGGGCATGTGATATTGAAAAGTACTTTCTTATTGTTACAATATATAATTTTATTGTACATTCATAAATATTAAGAATATGATATCGAGATTTAATATCTGATTATAAATCTTCTGTTGCTATTGATATATAATATTCATCTTATCTATAGAGTTTTGTATTAACTGTGCAAAACGATTTGTAACAAAGAGGGAAACATCTATAAATCTATCGACGCAATTGTTTATGCATGTTTCTGTACGGCCATCCAATTTACTTCCTGGCTTATCAACGCATTTGTCCCAACAAAAATCATTGAACTCGTGAATCTAAGCAAATTTAAAAATTTTCATGAAACTTTTGCAAATAATAAGTAAAAATTTTTTTCTAAGTAGATTGGCAAGCATTTCTTAAGAATAATGAGTGCGTTCCGTTTTTTCCATCTACATGCTATAAACATCGGTTCATCCTTATTGTCTATCAAATATTAAACAAAACAAATGATACTTGCAAACATTAAGCATAAAACGAAACGCATGCTATGTGTAAAATAATGTTGAACCAATTTAGGAAAGCAGTTCAGATTCATTTTAATAAAAGTTTATCTTTTAAAATGTTTCACCTGTGCATTGAATTGCGCTTTTTGCTTCTCGACCATTAGAAGCTCTGCTAATTCGGGATCGATTCCTTTATTGTCCTTGTCAGAATAGGAACTGTTGTCAAATAGATCTGACATGTTTCAAAATTGCAATGAAGTCAATTTGCAAAATCTTATTGTGTAAATATAGACTCCTAAGTTTCAAACGTAGTACTCAAGGCCCGGTTTCATCAATGCTGATCAACGCTAGAGACCATGATGGAAGCAGAAAAATCTGAGAGAGGACATGACGGGCCAAAATCTGTAACCTCAAAATGTTGCTGCGCACTACTGCCCTCTAACAAAGTGGATGTAAACTACATACCAACATCCACTTTTCTTAGGGTACATCATCTACTTTTCAAGGCTGGAAATGATAAATTGATATTTGGTTGATATAATCGTGTCACATGTAGTACGATAACTAATAACAGCCAATAAGAGCCGCGCTTTCTTTCAGGATTATCCTATCATTGGCTGTCGCTAATTAACGATAGCGTCAATCATCGATAAGACGCTTATGCCCATTTTTACCAATGTAGATTAACTTTAATCTAGATTCAATTTACTCTTCCTCTTTTTCTAATCTTTATGCATAGTCTACAATGAACAGTAGCAATAGTGGATTAAGGAATAAGCGTAGAAATCGACCAATCATAATTGATTATTCTCCTCACATTCGACTATGATTGGTTGATTTCTACGCCTATTCTTTAATCCACTACTGCTACTGCCTATTGTAGACCATGCATTAGAACTAGAAAAAGATAAAGAAGTTGAACCGAGATTAAAGTTAATCTACATTGTGAAAATGGACATGCTTTGACCTGAAATTAAAAGAACTATACTGTTATGAAATAAAGTCGAAAATATTATATATTAAGTCCTTATGAAAATAAAAATTGGAGCGTAAATCAGATGTAATGGAAGAATAACCGAAGCGTAACTTCTAGAAGGCGAAAATTGGAACATGTAAAAGAAAAAAAAGAAATGTAAAAGAAGCGATTATAGTCTATAATCCGATGCCTAAGAGAACGCATCCATACGAACATCCATATGAGTTTTGTGTGTTGGTGTGTGTGATGTGTGTGTGATATGATGTGTGTGTCTGAAGCTTCCATCTCTGATGATCTGAGCCATCCGAGGTTCCGAAATTTCAATCAGTGCAATATAACTCTTGTAGAAAGTTCGAAGTTTCATGAACAGTTAATTCGTCAAAGTAAGTCGCAAGAAATGATATTTTGTGTACATATTAGGCCTTTCTTCTCTTCAGGAGGAAAGAAGAGGAAGAAAGATGAACTGGTGCAAAAGTTCAGCTAAAAAAAACAGGCCTATTCGATGTTGTATATGCATGTATATTTTAGGTAAGGTGCATGTGCATTTACGAATTTGATATAAGTTATGAAAAAAATAGCTTCTAATTTGATATAATCAAATATATTCAATTAAAGTAAATTAAAGGGTTAAGAGCATAGGCAAAATGTTATTTGTTAATATTTAATAAATGTTATAATTTCAAATACATTTAAGCAAACGTTTCGATCAACAATGCTTTAAAGAGAGATTCAACAATGTCACTATACTACTGAACTTTCAAAAGATGACTAACTTAGTTGTCTAATTGTCATTTTAAATCTACAGCATTGTTTTATATAAAATATGATCAAAGGATTGTAATTACAAGCAATAGCACATCTTAACATGGATCGAGTTTTTCTTAACGTCAATTCTAATATTCAAAAGTATAAGAATCGTGCATTGATCAAGTTCTATTCATTTTGTTTACGAAATTACATGAGGCACGTTTTGGCACCAATATGACTAAAATATTTATACTGTCTGACTACGTTTTTAATGAATAATTACGCCGATATACTTTGTTTTGTATTATCATAAATAGAAAATTTAATATTATTATACGATTGGCATAAATTTTATAAAGTTAGAATGTAACATTAAAAATTTAAAATTATTAGGATGTTACTTTGTATTATTTATTTTTGTTATATTGAAAATGACCTCATTAGTATCGTAACATTTACTTAAATGTATTTCAGATTATAACAACACAAAATTTAAAATTATAACATAAGACATCTTTTAGACACAAAAAATACGTCTTATGACCTTTTTAGACATTTTTTTGTCTGGGACGTTTATTAAATATTAACAATTAACATCTTATCCATGCTCTTAGTCCTTTTAATTTACTTTAATTGTTTTAATTTGAATGATGTATGTAATTTATTATAATAATAAATATTTTCAATTTTTGCCATTTTTGTCAGAGTTGTTATATCTTTGCGAGTGAAAGTTGGAAGGTAGTACAATGGTATAAAAATTTGAAATTAATATAATGTACAGTTTATATTTAATTATTTTGTTGTACGTTAATTCAATAAGTTTCAGATTTGTAACTGACAAAAATAGCAAACATATTAAAATACGTTTGATTGTATAATATAAAATTAGAGGCTGTACTTTTCTTATCATACTTAATCTTACAGAATAAAAAATTATTTTCTAATAATACATTAACAATAAAAAAAAAGTTTGATCTTTATGTTCATTGTAATTAGATTTGTCTTAACTTTAATTATTTGTTAGAGCTGTTTTGTCTTGAGCGAAAGAGAAGAGAAAATAATATACAGCTTATATTTCATTACTTTCTTAGATATGATGTCAATCATGTATGTTTGTATGTTTAATGTTGCTCCAGGAATTTATTTAATACATCTGGATCTTCCAATATATCCTACAAAAATTAAAATTAGTTAAGAAGCATATAAATCCATTGAAATAATTAATTAAATTAAAGTACGAAAAATAACATTATAATATCGGTCGATGTAACTGTCAATCATTTTTATTTGAAGTTTTCATCATTACTGATAATAATAACATTAAAACAGATGCGGAAATATTTTCGTGATTTGACAAAAAGGCAATAAAATCGCCTACTGCAAGCGTACAAGAGGGAACAGACAGCAATGGCATATTCTCCGAAGATTATTGCAGCTAGCGATCGTATTAATGTACAGTTGGTCTCCAATTTTCACCAGTCTACTACTACTGCTGATAACTTAGACGGTAATGATCATGGATTCAGTGATGATGTTTCAATGTCCTATGTCCAAGAAAATTCTGAAAATGAGCACAGAGGAAACTTTCCCAAAGATATGTACAAAAATCAAGAGCTTTTGACCTGGTTATATTCATGGAAATTGAAACATAACATTTCACACGATGCTATGTCCGAACTCTTGAACCAATTGCGCATTTGTGGACATGCCGATCTACCGAAGGATGCAAGAACGTTGTTAGGAACACCTACGTTTAATCCTGTCGAGATTTCTGCCACCGGAGGTACTAATTTTCATTATAGTTTGAAAAACGCTCTAATTGTAGCAAATTGATGATCGAAAATTAATTTGTGAGATTATCATTATTTTAAATGTTACGAAATAAAATATATGTTATATAAAATATATAAAAGAGTAGAAATAGGACCATTCAGGGTAAATCTAGAGCGAAAAAATGGATCAAAAATGGGAAAATATGGGAAAAAATCATTTTTTCGCTCTAGATTTACCCTAGATGATCTTATTTTGATGTCAAATTCGTATTTAGCGACTCAAAATACATAAAAATAGCTGAATCTCCACCCCAGCACCCCAGGGTACTTTTTTTGTGGACCTGTAATTGTATTAAAATATTTATTATATAAAATTTTTGAAAATGTTCATTTCTGTATAACTGATTATAGTGTTTTATATGATATTAAGAGTTTACATAAATATATTGTGCTTCTCTGGAAAATAAAATTTATTATAATAAGACCTCTCAGCCAAAATTGACAATAAGTTATCAAATAGTCAATCTGGATGGTTAATGTTTCTTATTGGGCATTGATAACTATAAGATATCTTTCAGTCATCAATGCCCAATAACTTAACGAAGAAGTGGAACATTAACCACATCGAAGTTGACTATTCGACAATGTCAAACTTGTCAATTTTAGTTAGCTGGATTAATAATAGTCGATTATTTTCGAGACATTTGTAGACTATTAGTCGACATTCAGGTTTGATTAAAAAGTCGACTTTTGATTCTTCCAGTCTACTTTCAGTCGACTTAGAATGTCGACTATTAATCAACTTTTTTTTTAGACATTCGTTAACTATTAGTCGACACTCGAGCTGACTTTGAAGTCAACTCTTGACTTATCCAGTCAATTCATAGTCTACTTTTAGTCGATTTTATGTTGTTTAGGTCATCTTCCTGTCTAATTACTCATTCATGCCCCACAACTGCGTACCTGAATGCCGTTTTTCCTTTGCACGCCCAATGGAGCCTTCTGCTATTTCCTATGCTGATGCTCTAAAATCATAAATAATCAATTCTCCTTGTAAGGCATCTCATAAAGGTGCCACTTATACAACGCTTTCGAGAAATCACTCATCAAAAATGATCCAATTACAGAAGGCTCAAAGAGATCACGAGACTGTAACAAAAGCCCAGAACAATTTCGCCCGCACCCATGCTTTGAATCTTAATTGCCCTAACGGCAGAATGCCTTCACTGTCCGGAGCAGACGTTGCTTTACAGAACCGAACACCCGCGCCTACTTTTGAACCATCATCCCAGCAATTCGAGCAGAGTTTTTCGGGCGCACCTACGTCCGCGCCCCCTCCTCTCCTTCCCCTACCCCTTCTAACTCACGCTTTGATAACAGCACCAAATCTTTGTCTTCACTCTTAAATAACCTCGTCTCATTTTTAGAAGAACTTCTGGCCGATCAAGGCAGGCACAACAACTTAGGGTTGTTCGTAACACAACTGGTTAATCTGTTCATTGGGTCATTTACGTCCACTTCAGCGTCTACAAATTATTACTCCGATGTCAATGGGGACCTGATTAGTCCTCCCAACTCGCAATTTTACGCTTCTTACCGAAACAGAGACGATTATTATGAATAGGTCAGCTAAGACATTTTCCATATTACAGTGGAATTGTCGAGGGCTACTCAGCAATCTACTTTAGATCCAGACCCTACTAGCATACAACATGACATCATATGCCTACAAGAAACACTCCTTAAACAGGACAATAAGTTCGGCACTTCTAGTCACATTCAATTTAGAAAGAACATAGCAAGTAAAGGTGATAGGGGCGTGGCTATCCTTAAACAAAAATTTATGCTATGATCCCTTGGACCTTTCTCCTTTCCTACATTCTACATGGGAAATACAAGAAGTAAAACTCAATTTATTATCATCTTCATTTGCAATCATTAACATCTATAGATACACCAACACCTTTTCAAGTATATAAGTCTTTATTTGACTTTGGCAACACTTTTAATCATATTCTTATCGTAGGAGACATGAATGCTCACCAGAACACGTTCTGGTATTGTAACTATACCGATAAAGTCGGCCCGATTCTATGTAACGAAATTGACAGAAGCAACTTGATAATCTTAAACAAGGACGCTCCCACGCTTATGCAACCGCCGAATCTGGTCTTGGCCTCTCCAAATCTGGCGCTGATTGCTGACCCACAAACTAATTCGGACTCACAGGGCAACCATTTTCCAGTCTGTACTACGATCGGAGGTAAAGTGACACATTCCAGACAGTTCCACTACAAATTGAAACTAAAGAAAGAATAGTTGGACGACTTGTCGCACAAACTACAGATCTTTGTTAATGAATTTCTGGCTCAAACTCCATCCGCTCTGACGGAAAAATACGAATACTTGAAGGACTTTCTTTTGGAAAAAGTTCGGGTCTTTGCCAATGATAAATAAATATTTTGGCAACACTTTTGACTATTCTTATCGTAGGAAATGTGAACGCGCATCCCACGTTCTGGTATTGTGATTACACGAATAAAGTCGGCCAGATTATATGCAGCGAAAATGACAGAAGTGACTTGGTAATCTTAAACAAGGATGCTCCCACACTTATACAACCGCCGGATCTGGTCTTGGCTTCTCCAAATCTAGCGCCGATCGCCGATTCACAAACTGATTCGAACCCACAGGCCAGCGACCATTTTCCAGTTTGTATTACGATTGAAGGTAAAGTGATACGTTCCAGGCAGTTCCACTACAAATTGAAGCTAAAGAAAGAGCAGTTGGACGATTTGTCACACGAATTACAGATCTCTGCTGACGAATTTCTGACTCAAGCTCCATCCGCTCCGGCGGAAAAATACGAATACTCGAAGGACTTTCTTTTGAAAAAAGCTCGGGCCTTTACCAATGATAAATACTGTGATCAGATAAAAACAAAGTTCATTTGAATTTTTGACACTGTACAAGAAACCATTTCTAACGAATTTTATAATTTAAAAATGAATGTTATTTTTAATTCATCAATTTTTTTGTCGACAAATCTTTACTTTGGTTCGATCTTAACAGTTTCGTAGTTGATTAAGGAGTTCTTTCTCAATGTTCAAATTGTACAATCAATTCAAAATCACCAAGAATTCATTTCAATTTACTCTTGGATGCGCTGAAAATGGCTTAAATAGTCGAAACGTTCATACGCAGTGATAACCAAAAAACTATGTATAAAATAATTACATTTATGTAATAATATATGTTAATAGATATATACTAAAATCAACTATGATTGCTCTCAATTATCTTCATTTCACTTCATAATTAATGTTAATGAATCTGAGAGCCAAGTGTTAAACTAAAACTTTCAATTACAAATTACACAAATTCTTTTCTTCAAAAACACATTCTCTGTTTTAAGAATACAAATTATTTTCTACAATAATTTTTATTTTCACAACAGATAATTTGTAACATAAGTTCTCTGCTTTCAATACAAATTTTTTACTGTAAAAACAAAAATTATATAGATAATAATTTATATTTTTAAAGTATAGAATGTGTTTTTATAAAGCAGAGAATTTGCTTTTAAAACAGAGAATGTGTTTTTAAAGAAAAGAATTTGTGTAATTGAAGCAAAAAGTACTCATTATTGTAACCTCATTTACATGTTGTGCATGACTGCGGCGTATAGACAGATAGACGTGTCCAGTCGTGTCGCTATATCTCGTCGCTATATGACAGATTACTAATCTTAATAGTGAACTTTAACGCTTAATATCTTGGTTCGCGAAACCGACCTAATGTTTTTTCTTACAAATTCTTTTGTTTTATGCAAAAACGCGTTGAATAAGCCTAATTTTATCAAAATTGGAGATGAAGACCCTATTCTAAATAATTACCATAATAAAAAGTAGAAAATTGAGTGCAAATTAAAATTTTATTTAACTGTTATCCTTATTCCTATTTACAGATGACGATAACATTCAATCCAGAAATTTGGACAAGTCCGAGCAGGTGGTGGCCGACAAGTCCGAGCAAGTAGTGGCCAACAAGTCCGAACAAGTGGTGGCCGACAAGTCCGAGCAGGTAATGGCCGACAAGTCTAAGCAGATGATAACCGACAAGTCCGAGCAGGTGGTGGCCGATAAGTCCGAGCAGATGGTGGCCGACAAGTCCGAGCAAATGATGACCGATAAGTCCGAGCAGATGGTGGTCGACAATTGCAATTACGATGAAGATGCTCAAAGTAGCGCCTGGACTGATAAAATTCGTCTGAGGGAGCATCTTATCTCAGAAATTCGAAAGAGGCCTCCTCTTTGGAATTTCAAACTTCCACCTGAAAAGCGCAGAATCGAAAAGAGAGAGAGACTATGGGAAGAAGTTTCCATAAAACTTAATAGTACTAATTTCTTTTACATTATATGACACATCATTCTTTGATATTAATTATACATTTTAATTAATATTAATTGTATGTTTTTTTTTCTATAGAAGAAGGGTCAACCAAGAAGCTCAAGAAGATGTGGAGATCTCTCTGTGATTCCTTCAGGGTACATCATTATAGAAAGAAGATGTTGCCGAGTAAATCTACGATCTGTAGTCCGTGGGTCCATTATGAGAGCATGAAATTTATATCAGATGTTCAACTACAAAGCTTGTACGTAATACATCACACAGTATGCAATATTTTCATAATTTTGCAATATGGCAATAATATAATATATCAATATATAAGTAATGTTATATAAATATTATTGCTACAATATTAAAGGTGCAGGTTTGCTTGACACTACAAATGCTTCGAAATATTTGATTAATCAATCGGAAGAAAGAATTTTATTAACTGACCAATCAAAAAATGATTTGTAGCGTCAAGCTGGACGATAGCCTAAATTCCGCAAAAATTTATAGTACAAATATTTGTGGAATATTTTGACAATATATCCACAATATTACTAATATTACATGATATCTTTTGTCACACAGTACGATAACGAACGCAGCGGATACTAAAACTCTAACAACGGATAGGACAGTGAACGATGACAACAATTCAACCGACAGATGTGCCAGTAATTTATCAAGTACCTTATAGATATTTCAATGCATAAAACAAGAATACAATTGTATACTTTAATTTTTACAGAAAACAGAACTACGAAGAATCGAAGACAAAGATGCACGAAACGAGATTATACATAATCTATTCAAAATTTTCGACACTAAACACGAATAAACTCAAACATAACTAATTTTATGAATAATCCAGTAAACACAGAATATAATAACTATTGCAACATTATTATATTGTAACATTTAAAAATATTACAATAAATGTTGCTATAATGATGTATCTATATTCTATTTATATATGTATTTGCTGAGAATTTTAATTTTAAGTTTTTTAATTTTTAAACAGTTTTTTTAATAAGTTTTGCAATTTTATATAAATTCAAAAAATAAATTTTTGTAAAATGTAATTTGCAATTCTACATAAGTGACTCCAGTTTTTGCAGAACACGAGAACACGAAAACATTTCCAGCATGAAGTCTCTCTTTACTAATCGGGTTTAATAACATCCGTAGTTATGAAATTGACCAATCATAACTGTTCCTCAAAAGAATGGAACGATTGTAATTGGCCAATTTCATAACTACGGATGTTATTAAATCCGATTACAATAGTCGTAAACGTTATTGTAAGTGATTGTAGTTGTAAGAATTAACCAATTGAGTCGAATGTGAGGAGAATATTTGACTGTGATTGGTCAATTCTTACTACACTACTTATAATTACGCTTACGGCTATTGAATTAGACTAGGCTTAATGGTTATTCTACAATAAGCCATTAATCATAAATCAGAAGTTAGAAGGTGGAAATTGACGACTGTGATTGGTCAATTTCCAGCTTCTAACTTCTGACTAGTGGCTTATTGTGGCTTAGAATGCGTGTAAAGCGTTTGTATTGGCCATAATCTGTAAGAATTGATTAATCACAGTCAAGTTCTCCTTTCATTTGACGATAAGAAGGAAATGATTTTATAGAAGATGATTTAATAGAGGTTAATTTTTACAGATTACGGCATATACGGTTACGGCCAATATAAACTCTCCTTAAATGTAGCCAAATGGGCGTTTTCAAGTCGGACAAGCTGTTAGCCAAGCGATTGAATGTCTGGATCTATAGGTAACAACCAATCATATTTATTTGCTCAGCAAGCAGGCTTTGTCGACTCGAACGCGTCCTATGATGACACGATTTGAGGAATCTAGGAAATATAATACACTCACGCCTATCAGGATAGTAGCTCTGCTTAATTCATAAGGGAGCATTTATATTAGCCGTAATAGTATGCCGTAATCTATAAGAATTGACTAATCATAGTCAGATATTTCCCTTCTCATTAGATAGTAAGAAGGAAATAGTCAAAGGTGATTGGTCAATTTTTACAGATTGCGGCATATGGTTACGGCTAATGTAAACGCTCCCTAAATCATTCGATCACCATGATCTGAACAGTTCTTTTCCATTTTTCTTCGAAGTTGGATGTCTGTGTTCTTTATGTAAACTCTTTTTGATTTTTTTTACAATATCATAGTATAAACAGCAACAGTTGTAAAAAGTGACTTGTACATACGCGCGTAGATCGTAATTCATGTAATCGTGAAAGTGTATAAAATTTAATAGTAGGTAAGCAGCGTATGTACGTTTCGTGTCGTTAGGTATCTAACAAGGTATTGTGAGCAACAAAGGAAGATCTTCCTTTTCAAATCGGGAATTAAATGTAACACGATCGCGTATGTATTGTATTTAGGCCAGTTTTATTGTATTTTGTAGGCCAGATGCATTAATTTAATTAACATTCGGTTATTACGAAGGAGACGGGCTCACTCATCGATTTTGATGAAATTAAGTTCATTCGACGTATTTTTGCACGAAATAAACGAATCTGACAGAAAAAAAGTGTCGCTCTGCTCCGCGAACCAAAATATTAAGCGTTAAAGTTAACTATTCAGGTTAGAAAATCTGTCACAGCCATGCAATAGTGAGCAATGTGAGCATGAAAAGTGTATGTATGGGGACAGTACGTTCCGCCCACCCCATATATTGGTGTGAGAGGAATGTCACTTTGCATGAAAAATTGTAAAGTTATGTGAAATCTTATAGATTTACAATTTATTACGCAAAACAAAATCCATCTTGTACCAAAATGTGGGGTTAATTAGGTTTCTTTTCGGAGTGGTGAAACCCTCCCCATAGAATGGGGTTAGGGGGAAGGGAAGGGGGACGGAATGTACTATCTCCATCTCCATACATACACTTTCCATGCTCACATTGCACTATTGCATAGCTGTGACAGATTTCCTAACCTGAATAGTCGTCCACTTTATTGCTTAATATCACGGTTCGTGGAGCAGAGCAATTTTTTTCTGCCAGATTCGTTCATTTTGTGCAAAAACGCGTCGAATAAGCCTAATTTCATCGAAATCAATGAGTGAGCCTGTTTTCTTCATAATTATTCAATATTCTTATTCGTGTTAGTAATAGGTCGTTGGAAAATTAAGGATAGTTCCATTTAACGCTCACAACACTCGCATTATTTCTCCTTGTTTAACATTCAATAAATAACAAGAATGAAATAATTCCATAAGCATTGCGAGCATCAAATGGAACGCATCCTAAAAGTATCATCCCCATGTAGCATTCTGTAAGTAATATGGCCAACAATTTTTACACAAATTTATGTATCTTACACATTTAAAGTTTCTGTTTTTATTGTCACATCCTATTCGGTAAACGGAATTCTCAAGCGTGCGCTAGTCTACCAAGCCAAGGATCAGCCAAGTATACAGTTGTTTAATTAATATCGTCGCAGAACTCCAGCTAGTAACAGCCTCAATCTCTCAATGTTGTTCCTGTCTAGCTCTGGAGTTTAAATAATGCGATGGAATTCTCAGCCATCTACAAAATCCAATAATATAACAGTTTATTTGTATAATATACTCTCATGGATATATAATAGGCCCCAAACTGCTAACACTAATGCAAATGTCCAATTTTCATTGCCATTTGTGGTTTTAAATTGATTGGACTTTGGCCTCATTGGTGGAAGTGGTGTGGCCATACAACGCGCTTAATATATATTAATCCACGGATTGTTTTGTATGGACCTTGGATTTAAGTTACTAATGTTTATTATTATTATTAGCTGTATCCAATTGTTAATTTGCATACGATGCAATAATTACTGTATCATGTATAATATGATAAAAAAGGTCAATACTGTATAAGGCTTTATCTGGTGAACAAATAATAGTAGTAGAAGATCATGGTACAAGATAGGGATGAATATTCTGCTGTTATTTATGTAATTTTGTACCAATTTTGTCAGCTGAATATCTGAGCTCCTTGTTCGCACTTTTATAGTATTTTAACAGATACTACTTGTGACACAACGCAAAAAAATGGAAATTGAAATAACACAGACAGTGGTTATGGAAGGTATGGCTTCAGAAGATAATGCAAATAATCAAAATCAAAACATTTGTGGTGGCGGAACAGTCTCTAGCATGAAATGTGAAAATCAGAATTGGGAAGCATCGCATAAACAATCAATCAAATTAGAGCCTGATACTAGATCAACTGGCACTGACAATAGTAATTATGATATCACGGACGAAGAAACTACATGTCTTGACAATAAAGATGCTTTACACAATGGCTTATGTCAGGAAGATTCGCAACATAATGAAGATTCACAACATAATGAAGATTTACGGCAATTTGACGTATTGGATGATCTAGATCGCCATCCAGAACAGAATGATGGTTCTGATGAAGATTCAGATACAGATGAAAGTATGGATTCTGATGTGCCAGATGAAGAAATTGAAGCGATGCTAGAAGAAGGTACATTTATATTTTCTTATATCTTACATTTCCACACAAAAGGTATAACTATATTTTATAATAAAAAAAAAACAATCTAAAAGATTTTCGTTTATTCTATTTTTGTTTATTCTTTTTATTCTTATGTAAAAAATCTGCTGTATGTTTTATATATTGATACAATTTACCCGCATATTACTTTTAATTATCTACATATAAGATGCGTGAATTCCATATTTTTTCAAGAACTACAATTCAAGATTTTTAACTTTACGCTTTCAAGATCAGATTAAATATTTTCTGCTGCAAAGAGAATAAGAAACCAAGTAAGGTTATTTGGCCTTTACTTCTTCACTTATTTGTGCTGTTCACATATCAGTCAATTTTCCACTTGTTATTGTTCTTATTTTAGTTAAATTTTATTGTATTAGGTTTACCAGAAGAATTTAAAGGGAGAAGAAAAGATAAAAAGGATCGTTTGCCCTATGAAGAAAAAGAAAAACTTGTTTTAGATGGTATATTAATATAAAATATTACAAGAGAGGTGATGTATAATTATTTCTAATATTTATATATTACGTTTGTTGTTCTTTTAGAAATTGGACATAATCATTTTGATGTTTTACCTGAAGGATGGGTACAAGTGACACATAACAGTGGAATGCCATTATACCTTCATAAACAAAGTAGAGTTTGTACATTAGCAAAACCATATTTTCTTGGTCCAGGAAGCGTTAGAAAGCATGAAGTTCCTGTCAGCGCCATTCCTTGTCTTCAGTATAAAAGAGCATTAACAGAAGAGGAAGAAGAACGAAGAAAGGAGATAGAGCGCACACCAAACACTGAAGCTTGTAGTCTTCCTAGCGCAAAAATTGAAACTATACAAGAAAATCGCGCAGCACATTCATTAGATAGCGAGCAGCTAAGAAATTATTGTCAGTCTTTGTTTCGTTTTAAATCTATTAAAGTAATGAGATTTCAGTAAGTATAAAAAATAAGATGATTGTATCATCATGAAATTTGTTTTGCATTGATTAACTTTTCTGTCGTAGATCTTGGTCAGCGCGTCGGAAATTTACGAAAATTAAAAAACATCGTAAACAACTTGAGCGTCCAACTTTACCGGATGGTACAAAATTGATAACTTTTCCAGTCAGTAGTTCTAGTGGAAGTGGCAGTTCGCATATTGTGGACGATAATGGACAGAGACCTGCAAAACACTGGATAATGAATCCATCAGGCAAAAGTTATGTTTGTATTCTTCATGAATATGTACAACACGCGTTAAAGAAACAGCCAACGTACAAATTTAAAGAATTAGGTAATCATATTATTT